TTTTCATGGCCCTTGGAGATGCTTCCTTCTGGCCTAGCACGGTTATGAACATATTTCTTTAAGACTCCCATGAACCTCTCAAAGGGGAACATATTGTGTAGAAATACAGGACCCAAAACATTAATCTCTTTGCATAGGTGAACTAGGACGTGCGTCATGATGTTGAAGAAGGATGGTGGGAACACCAACTCGAAACTGACAAGACATTGCACCAAATCATTCTCTAACCTTGGTATGATTTCTGGATCGATTACCTTCTGAGAGATTGCATTGAGGAATGCACATAGCTTCACAATGGCTAATCGAACGTTTTCCGGTAGAAGCCCCCTCAATGCAACAGGAAGCAGTTGCGTCATAATCACGTGGCAGTCATGAGACTTTAGGTTCTGGAACTTTTTCTCTGCCATGTTTATTATTCCCTTTATATTCAACGAGAAGCCAGACGGTACCTTAATACTGAGCAGGCATTCAAAGAAGATTTCCTTCTCTTCTTTGGTAAGAGCGTAGCTTGCATGACCCTGATGTATGCCGTCTTTTCCGTGCATACGTTGCTGGTCCTCCCGTGCCTCAGGTGTATCTTTTGTCTTCCCATACACGCCCAAGAAGCCAAGCAGGGTCACACAAAGATTCTTCGTCACGTGCATCACGTTGATTTCGGAGCGGACCTCTAGGTCTTTCCAATAGGGCAGGTCCCAAAATATAGATTTCTTCTTCCACATGGGTGCGCGTCCGTCAGCGTCATTTGGAACAGGTTGTCCACCAGGACCCTTTCCAAAGACCACCTTCAAATTGATGACCATATCATGTACATCAGCACCAGTACGGTGGCGAGACTTCGTCCGGTGATCCGCCTCACCTTTGAAATGCTTGCCTTTCTTTCTTACGGGATGCCTGCTCGAAAGAAATCGACGATGTCCCAGGTACACATTCTTCTTACAATTAGCCAAATATATACTGTCGGTATCATCCAAACAGTGCGTGCATGCACGGTATCCCTTGTTTGTCTGTCCTGAAAGGTTACTGAGAGCAGACCAATCATTGATGGTCACGAACAGCAACGCCTTTAGGTCAAATTCTTCCCCCATGTGCTCATCCCACGCACGTACACCTGTTCCATTCCACGGTTGTAAGAGTTCTTCAACTAATGGCCTTAGGTACACATCAATGTCGTTGCCGGGTTGCTTAGGGCCTTGGATGAGCACTGGCATCATAATGAACTTCCGCTTCATGCACAACCAAGGAGGAAGGTTATACAAACATAGAGTCACAGGCCAGGTGCTATGGTTGCTGCTCTGCTCCCCAAAAAGATTAATGCCATCTGCGCTTAGACCAAACCATACGTTTCTTGCGTCATCTGCAAACTCCTTCCCGTACTTTCTTTCGATTTTTCTCCACTGCGACCCGTCAACAGGTACTTTCAACTTTTCGTTTTTCTTACGATCTTCTCTGTACCATCGCATCGCCTTGGCATGCTCTTTGTTTTGGAACAAACGTTTCAACCGTGGTATTATAGGAGCATACCACATCATCTTGGCAGGAATCTTCTTCCTGGGGCGCTCGCCCTTGACATCACCAGGGTCATCGCGGCTGATCTTATAGCGCAATGCACCGCATACCGGGCAAGCGTTCAAATCCTCGTACTCAGCACGGTAGAGGATGCAATCATTAGGGCATGCATGTATCTTCTGCACCTCTAACCCTAGAGGGCAGACAGCCTTCTTTACTTCGTACGTACTCTCGGGCAATTCGTTGTCCTTTGGAAGCATATTCTTTATCATTACCAGCAACTTTCCAAATCCCTTGTCAGATACACCATTCTCTGCCTTCCATTGTAGCAATTCCAGTGTGGTGCCCAGCTTTTTCTTGTCACCTACGCAATTCGGGTACAACAATTTTTTGTGATCCTCTAACATGCGCTGCAACTTCTTCTCCTCCAAATCACTTGCGCAGTTTCTCTTTGCATTGGCAATGGCCCGACCTAGATCATCAACGGGCTCATCTGATGCCTCTTCTTCAGCTTCTTCCCGCATTGCCGGCTCAGCTTCTTCCCGCATTAACGGCTCAGCTTCTTCCCTCATTATTGTATCGTCGTATTCAGGGAACCCATGGCCAGGATAGCTGTCGTCGTCCTCTTCTTCTTCATTGTCTTTCATCATAACCCCTCTTTCTCCATGCTTGGTGCAAACATTATAGTGGGGCATGAAAGCGGACTCAAACAGGTGGACGTGAATGGTTCTTGATGTAGAGTAATTGTGACCATTCTTACAGCCAACACATGGACAAGGCATAAAACCATCCGCCCGCTTGTTTGCCTCAGCCGCAAGCAGAAAAGTATGCACACCATTAATGAACACGGGAGAGCATCGGTCATCGTACATCCATTGCCGGCTCATCTTCAATACACAGCACCGAAAACACCAAATTAATACAATACATAAAGTTCATACAACACTTAAATGCAACAAAAAAATAACTCTCTAGCTAAAGAATTTAAATGCAACAACAAATGCGATCAAGATCGCAACTAAGATAACAATTGATCCAACAGCATAATGATACCAAGCCTCACTATGAATGACATATTTTCTAAGCTTTCTAATCTTCAAGCACATTTTCTCTATCTTAATCTTGTGATCATCGACGACATCGGCAACATGCAACTCCAATTCCATCTTCTCCCCCTCAATTCTTTTCAATTTTTCTTTCAAATCCTCGTTTTCTCTTTCAACTAAATTTAACCTCTCGACAATAGGGTCGGTTGGAATTTCCGGTTCAACTACCTCCTACATACAAATATCTATGTCAGCTTGATGGGCATAATTTGTCATAAACACGAAATGCAACAAATAGTTTTAAAAGAGAATATACCACATCCGAATCATAACAAGGGCGAGGGCCGACGAGGACGGATATCAAAACCATGGCACTATGTATAACAAACAACGTACGGGTAAGATAATTATACGAGTAACTATATATCCAAATCACACAAACATCAATTTTTTATATAAAATTTCATGAACAAGAGGCTCACCACAAGGTGGTGCCGGCGACGGGACGGTGCGGGCGATCGACGGTGGTTACAACGGAGATTTAGAAGGCACTAAGTAAACCACACCTACATATGCAAACTAAGTGTTATTTTGACCTCAATTTGCATATAAATCAAATACTACCACATATAATTTCTCCCAAATTACTAAAACCCACAATTAATCACTATATAAACCAATGCAAGAGTTAATCTAGCAATGAGAGATGAAAGGACAAAGTTGCTAACCTTTGTGATCATTTGAATGGATGGGGGCCTGCAAATCTTGATAAATTTGGGGCAAATTTTGTGATGAACTCGAGAGGAAGAAGGGAAGAACAGAGGAGAGGGAGAGGGGAAAGGGGGGAGAACAGAGTGCTGGTGGACGAAGGGTTTATATATGACGACCTTTAGTACCGGTTCATGGCACGAACCGGTACTAAAGGTGCTAGAGGGGCCCCACTCTGACAACATCCTGCCACCACTCTCATTAGTACCGGTTCGTGGCACGAACCGATGCTAAAGGTTCGCCACGAACCGGTACTAAAGAGCTCCTCCCGCCTAGCCGTTGGAACCAGCACTAATGGACACATTAGTGCCGGTTCTGTTACAAATCGGGACTAATGTGTCGCATATTTGACCCTTTTTTTATTAGTGATAGTAAGGTCTAGCTAAACTCCCCCGCAAAAAAAGATCTAGCTATACTAATGTCCCAAAGAAGAAGCCTTCCGTAGATAGAAAATGGCATAGGCCATGTTTGTTTGGGCTACAGCTGAATGAAAAGCAGGTGGAGCCAATAGAAGTAGTGAAGACTAACAATTCTGTTTGGCAACTATTAGACCTGATGGTGAGCCTGTAACTGACATCAAAAGTCCAAAATGGCCTTGTATATTAAACATGTTAACTGATGTTTCAACTGCTAGGATGGCATTAAAGAAACAGATCCTGGGTTTCTAGCCACACTAAAGGCAAAATACACGTGCATGCAGGTCTCTTAGTCCAAGGTTAATAATATAGGCAACTATTGGCTACAAGATGTTATCATGTCATCTGTAATCAATCTAGTAGTCATATAGTAGTTAACTACACGACAGGATAATTTATTAACACATGATTCTTGAAGCCCGTGCTACAACTAGCTACAGCCTGATTCTATTCTCTCTTTTCCAATTCAGCAAAAGTATAATATTTAAACGTTATAAATTATAATCGGCTTATATCATCTTATTGCATTTGCTCTTAAGGAAACACTGATTATTAGGGCTTCCAAACTCTCCATTATCATCAGTACCTAGCCCGTGTACATTCTCAAAGCTCGTGGAGGACCAGTATCATCTCTAGCTCAGGGGCGGTGGTTTTGAATGTACTCCCTCCGTTTTTAAATATAAGTCTTTTTAAAAAAAATATGAATTACATGCTAATGTATATAGATCTATTTTAGAATGTAGATTCACTCATTTCGCTTCGTATGAATCCAGTATGAGTTCATATTGAAATCCCTAAAAAGACTTACATTTAGAAACATAAATAGTAACTAGTAAATCAGGTGTCGTATCATACTCCGTCCTAGCTAGTATAAATCCCTTTGGTCAATTGTACTCCCGCCTACTCATGCTTCGTCCTGTCAAGAGGAGAAGCTACTTCTTTTGGCATGTTATTTTAGGGTGTCTACTTGGATCCGTACGTAGTCGTCAGTCGGCCATGTGGACCGCAGGGAGCATAAGAATATTAGATGCAACCGATGGAAGATGTTTGCACGGGATACGTACAACCGGTTTGGATGGTGGTTCAATAATATGATAGGTGTTTAGTCATCTTCCCCTATCTTCGCCGATTATGGCAAATTTATTTTCTTTGAGTTTCGTAATACTGTTTAAGACTTTGTTTTGAGTCTTTCTGTATAAATACTTAATGATGGCGGTAAGCAGCATCAGCTCATTACTGGGCTAACATCCAAAAGGTTCGGAGGATGCTGACCTATACCACTGCAGGCTGGCATGCTCCAGTACTCGACCGGCCGACAGCCCAGCCATGGCGACGGCTTTCCATGCACCTACACTCTCATCGTCGTCGATCTGGTAACCATGATCTATCAATCTCCTGACGTCAATGCATGCCTAACTTGAGCGCTGCCGTAACAACTGTACTTAGTTAGTGTTTTTGGCTCATGTTCGAGAAAAGTAAATGTTTGGATTGAAGCTTTTGTTGCCTCCCAAAATGAATAAATTCCTTCTATGAATCGTGTCTCCTATCCACCTAAGGTTTGGCATGTTGCTGATCTAGAGGTTTGCCGGCCTGATAATTTTTCATACTCCATCTAATAGCGATAATGTGCTCGAGCCAATAATTTAAAAGTGCATATCAATTTCATATGACTTGGATGACATGCCTGATGTCTAGGGCTCGCGCTAAGTAGGAAATACCCATCTTATCCGGAGGCAAAAGCGCGTGAATGGGAAGTTGATGAATACAGACAACACACGGTGAGCCTATACATATTAATTAACTAACTTTGAGTGGAATAATCACTGCTGCGCACAAGCTGATCACAAATGTACATATACTATATTGAACCCTGATCAAAATCCAATATCGATCTTCCTGAAGGATGAACCAAGCAAGATGAAACAGATGATCAATGCCATAAGGACGGCACTGGGGTCATTGGGTGATGATGAGACGTCAACCAATGTTTCAGCCTACGACACGGCATTGGTCGCCCTTGTCAAGAACCTTGACGGAGATGAGAAACTGCAATTCCCCTCATGCATCAACTGGATTTTACAAAATCAACTACCAGATGGCTCGTGGGGTGACCCTGCTTTCTTTATGGTCCAAGATCGGATGATCAGCACCCTGGCATGTGTAGTGGCAGTGAAGTCTTGGAACATTGACAGCGATGACTTGTGTGACAAAGGTAAATCAATCGCTGGGTTGTTTGTTTTGATCAAACTTTGTATGCTTAACTACAGGGTTTCTTCAAGTGTCTAATGTAGAAAGAACCATTTATGTTGTAGGTGTGTTATTTATCCAAGAAAACATGAGCAGGTTGGTAGAACAAGAACAGGACTGGATGCCATGTGGCTTTGAGATTAAGTTCCCAGCTATCCTAGAGAAGGCCAAGGACCTGGATCCGGACATCCCTTATAATCACCCTGCTCTAGAAGAGATACATGCCAAGAGAAATCTAAAGCTCTCTAAGTATGCATATCTATATAAACCTGGATTTATACATTGAATTGAATGGTCTATGCATAATTAAGCATCATCTGACTCGAGGTCTTTTACGGTGAATGGTCTATGCATAATTTTTTTTGCGAGAGAAATTTCCAATCTATTCATCAATCATGATACTACAGAGAACACTAGAGATAATAAAAATTAGAACCAGGTCAATGGACCACCTAGCGACGACTACGAGCAGTGCAGCGAGCCTAAGGCGCACGCCCGTTTCTCGCCCCTCCCTCAGTGGAGCTGGGCAAAACTTGTTCTAGTAGACAATCGAAAAATTATCGTGCTATGGCCGCAAAGTACTAGTGCACCAGAGCAGCAACCATCGCCGATGAGGAGAGTTTTAGATCAGACAAATCAAACCTATAACCACACGAATGAAGACAAACAAAAGCTGGATCCAAATTAATAGATCCACCGAAGACCAGCACCGATCGAATCCTAAGAGATCCAACGGAGACACACCTCCGCACATCGTCCGTCAATGCTATTCACACCATCGGGGCGGGGATAGGATGTAGGAGACATTATTCCTACCGAGGGACGTCGCCACCGCCACACAACCCCATCCAAGACGCTGAACCAAACAAAAACGAGTATGGTCTATGCATAATTAAGCATCATCTGACTAGATTTATTCACTTGATGACAAATTACCTCCCCGTATTATATTAAGTCATCTTAACCGTCCATTGTTTGGGTATTGTGGACAATTTATCTCTGGGTATTTTTCGTAAGGACAATATAGTCCAGGATTTGAGGATAATCTCAGCCGCAAAAGATATTCCTCCGGCGGAAAAAGAGAGAAATCTCTCGGCATTCCCCATAGACAGGAAACACATCGTGTCTTTGTAAAGATTGAAAACACTTTTGTTTTCTGTAGGTAAACAAATTACCCATGAAAATCAATATGTCGTAGAGAATCAGTTAATTATAGCAATAATCCTAGTAATTACATAATGGGCCGATAGAATTAGGCTGCACACATCACGCTTTACCGTACCCCACCCCGTTCGTACGTCTCCCGCGCCTGGGCCACCTACCGTGTTATCTCTCCGACTTAAAAAGAACATAAAGTTGTGCGTCCACCCCATTGCTTATCCAACCTTTTTTTTTGAGAAATTTTCATTCAAATCACGAATCAGTATAAAGTACTCCCTCCGTTCGGAATTACTTGTCTCGAATATGGATGTATCTAGAACTAAAATATGTATAGATACATCCATTTCTGCGACAAGTAATTCCAAACGGAGGGAGTAGTTGACCCTTACAAGCACACTGAAACGCAAACACAAAGGACCATGAACACCTAGAGTATCCTAAGACAACCATAACACAAGAAGATCTCCGGAGCCCCGTGTCATCATCCCTAAATCTTGAGAGAAGACCCTTGCAGTAGAAGGATCTGCAACCAGTCGCAAACAGGTCATCATCTTCGACCACGGTACAATTGCCGCCATGCTGCTTCCTCCTTTCTTGACACCAACGCTGTGAGGGCATGGATATCAATCCAACACACCTGCAACAGCCGTCGCCATCTTTGGCTTTGAGTACCGCGAAAAGTGTCCCTTCCGGAAAGAAGAGAACTCGAGTCATCCGACCGGTCCAGCACCGCGGCCGGGCCATCCCCCCGGACAAAGCAGGATCTCCCTCCAGCATCAGCGCAGAGGAAGGAGAAGAACAACAGCAGCAAATCATACCAACAAGGAAGAAGAAAGGTCTTCGTCTCCCTGCCTCCATCGCCCATCTGAGGATCCAAACGGCCAGTGCCGATGTACCTCCAACCACCATAGCCCACGACCTCGACGAGATCCGGGGATCCCCAACACCGTTGGCTCCTAGACGAAGGCAAAAGCCTCGCCTAACCACGGACGGAGCCCGGAGAAACTTATTCCGATGCGACACCACCGCAACGGCCTCGGCAGCATCTCCCTCAACTCTAACCCTACCACACACCCACAAGCCGTCTCCTTTAGTACGTTCGCCTATTCTTCTCTTTGTTTTGATTTTTTTCCCTCATATTTGGTACGTTTCTACCATTTTTTTACTGAAAATCGCCTTATATGCGACACCTTTTATTGACTTACCAACTAAAAACAATTGTTTTCTTTGCTAAGTGAATAAATACTTATCAAAATAACCCTAGAATTTATTTGGGTAGGTAAATCAAGGGCATTATTTTCTAAAACAAATCATGGGCATTATTTTATTGTTTGGTAAACACTTATTTACACAATCACGTTAATATGGACAGGTACATAATGGGCAAAGTAGTACAATATTTATACCTCGTTGCAACACACGAGCAACCATCTAGTTCCATATAATTTTTCGGGTGTTGTATTCCAATTTGTTAGCAATGCATGGAGTTTCCTTTACAAGGCCGTACGAATTATAATGTATACCACATAGATCGTTATTTGGGTATGTTTAGATATGGAAGCTAAGCTGAACAAATATCAATCTGCCAAAACTAATCTCTCTTTTCTTTTTCATCTGTCAAATTTCCCCATAGAAGCTTTGATTTCCTGCTAGTATTTTTTTTAAAGGAGGATGACCCCCGGTCTCTACCTCTAGGAGATGCATGCAGCCACTTCCCTGCCATTATTTTCTGGATGGCCTGTATTTTATGGTCCCCATGGTAATAACTAATAACCTATCTGACTCAAATTGCAGGATACCTCTGGATGTGCTACATAACATACCAACGACCCTACTTTACAGTGTGGAAGGAATGGTAGACTTGCAATTGGACTGGGAAAAGCTACTCAAGTTGCGGTGTCTGGACGGCTCATTCCATTCCTCGCCTGCTGCAACAGCTGCTGCCCTCAGTTACACCGGCGACAAAGAATGTCTTGCGTTCCTAGACAGGCTCGTAAAAAAGTTCGATGGGGGAGGTAATTAAAATCACTAATTCTTGTAGAACCAACACAAATGCACATTTAGGTAGGATGTAAGAGTCTCTTGCAATTGTTAATAAGTACTCCCTTATTGACCAATGAAATTTCCCTTTTCAGTGCCTTGTATGCACTCCTTGGATATTTTTGAGCAGTTATGGGTGGTTGATCGGCTGATGCGTCTAGGGATATCTAGCCATTTCACAAGTGAAATTGAGCAGTGGATAGATTTTATTTACAGGCAACACAAATTTAATTTGGAATACCTAAAATAATTTACTCAAGAGCCTCGACTTAACAACCACTCCGGCACATAAAAAATAATTTAGTTTATTCAAACCATTAGAGTATCATCATATTCCATTATAAATATATTTCATATATAAATCTTGTTTACAAACATATTCATAAGGAAATAGTAGTCAAAGTAGCATGACGTGGATTGCTAAAGCATAAATGAATTTATATTTTGAACAAAGGGAATGCATTTTGAAACGCATTGCCCCGATGTTAAGTGTAAGAATTAAACATTGTCATATTCATGACTATTATCAGCTTATTACTCATGCCTATATGTAGCACAATATTTTAGAATTTATATTATGAATATATTATTAGTAATCTAGTTGTACGATTTTCACGAAACAAATCTAAATATTCATTGTATTCTTAATAGAAAACTTTTGTTTTCATAAAGACTATCAATCTACTATACTTTGATGAGCGTTTGTGTAACACCTGTTTGAGAGGAGCTACATATATACACTTTGAACAGGCGTTGGACTCAAAAGGGACTGGCTCATAACAGGCACTGCCCTACCCCGGATATTGATGACACCGCCATGGGTTTCCGTCTCCTCCGTCAGCATGGCTACGATGTCACTCCATGTAAATAATACTCCTTCAGTGCGAAAATAATTATCGGAGAAATAGATAAAAATAGATGTATCTAGAACTAAAATACTTTCAGATACATTCATTTCTTCAACAAGTATTTCCGAACGGAGGAGTACATACTATTGCCGTACATCCTAATGTAGATACTGGAGTAGTAGCGCTTTTGCATGCATGACTAGTATCTTGTGCTGGGTAGATTTTGACTAACGTGCATCTAAAAATTCAGGCGTATTCAAGCACTTTGAGGACAGGAAGAATGGCAAGTTCTTCTGCTTCCCATTGGAGACCAACAACGCATCTGTCACCCCAATGTACAACACTTACCGTGCTTCTCAGTTCATGTTCCCAGGTGACGATGATGTCCTGTCACGAGCCGGGCGCTATTGCCGTGCATTCCTCCAAGAAAGGCAAGCCTCGAACAAATTGCATGACAAGTGGGTCATCACCAAGGACCTGCCGGGCGAGGTATTATGTGGCAACCTATTCAAGTCAATAATATATGCGTCAATCCAGAGATATGTTTTGCTGGATTTTTGCATGATGATCTTTTTGGTGCCTTGTACTTCCCAAAAAACAGGTCGAGTACACACTGAACTTCCCCTGGAAAGCAAGTTTGCCACGAATCGAAACAAGGATGTATCTGGATCAGTATGGAGGCAGCACGGACGTTTGGATTGCCAACGTCCTCTACAGGTAATAACAATTAATCCTATGTGAGCTAGCATGTGAAACTAGACCAATTCTTAATTTCGTCATTCGAAACAATAGAAATTTCTGGTAGCCATATATTTGTCACACCCTTTGGTTCTGGCAAAATTAACTTTCAGAATGAATCTTGTGAGCAACGACCTGTACCTTGAATTGGCAAAAGCAGATTTCAGAGAATATCAAAGACTCTTCCGACTTGAGTGGAATGGCCTCAGAAAGTAAGTCACGGAAATTTTTGCAGCCTCTCTCCTCAGGTTCGATTAATTAGCGCTCCTAGCATATCACGCCTAGATTCTAGCTTACTCGAGAGTATGTGCAGGTGGTATTTCAGGAACCATCTGCAGAGGTATGGTGGGACGCCAAAGAGCGCGCTCATGCCTTACTTCTTAGCTTCAGCAAACATCTTTGAATCTGACCGAGCAGCAGAGCGTCTAGCATGGGCTCGTACGTGGGTGCTTGCCGAGGCAGTGACCTCTCGCTTGCGACATACTGGGTATGAATGCAGCTTCATTATTTCCCCTCTACGGAATCTAGTTTAGTGATGATCAATTTAAAGTTTTCTTAGCAAGGGGATATCCCCTGATTTCCATCAAGAAGCCAAAAAAATAGAGGTTCGTACCTGCCGGACTGATCAAAATAACATGTGTGCGCATGCATTGCAGGGGGACAAAGGACTCAACAAAGAATCTTGAAGAGCTTATCGACCTTGTTTCATTCGACAATGACTCTTCCAGCAGTCTTCGTGATGCTGTAAAATTCATCAAACCACTCCAGTTAGATATAGATGTCTATAAGATGCTGAATTTTGTTACCAGATATGAAACATCGAACCTCTATTTTCTTTGGCAACTGCAGTGGAAGCAGTGGCTCATGGCATGGACTGCAAAGGAGAGCCATGGATCAATTGAAGGAGATACAGCTGTGTTGTTGGTTCGAACAGTCGAGATATGCTCAGGAAGGCATGTTTCAGCCGAGCCAAAGCTGAACCTTTGGGAGTATTCCCAGCTCGAACAGCTCACCTCTTCCATCTGCCGCAAGCTTGACACAAGAGTTCTTGCTCAGGTGCGTATGTACATGCATTTGTATGTCCGGAATACATGTGTGTCCGTTTGAGTTGTATGTGATCTGTCAAACCATAACCAAATACTGTTCAATGATAAAAAAACAGAATGGGGAAAATATGGAGAATACAGAGGACTTGGACTGGCAAGTGGACATGGAGATGCAAGAACTATCTTGGAGAATTCATCAGGGTTGCCATGGCATCAACAGAGACACCAAGCAGACATTTCTCCACGTGGTGAAAAGCTTCTACTACTCGGCTCATTGCTCACCTGAAACAGTTGATAGCCACATAGCAAAGGTCGTCTTCCAGGATGTGATTTAAGAGGATTCCCCTGCTGTCCTATTTATGTTCCTGTTATTGCAAGAAATAAATTTGTGCATGTGAAAAGAAATGAGGCCCACTTGGAATTTCGATCAGAATAGGGCATTTCCAGATTCTCTCGGCTGAACTTTGCTTTTTAGAGTTTGGCTTATAAAAGCATCTCTAGCAAATGCCCTAGAAGTTAATTTTGTTTTGAGGGATTAAAGCCTAGCTAGCAGATCCCTCAGATCTATTAATCCCTAAAAAATAAATAGCTTTTCATCCCCCAAAGCCGCAGCTTCTCAGTATAGTCGGCCACCCATGCATTGTTCCTCGGCGCGTCAGTGCCGCCCCTGCCGTTGCCCCCATCCAGACCCCTGCGCCGGAACTGTTCCACGCGACCATCCCGCAGCCCCGCTGCCCTCTTCCGCCTTCTCCTCGCTCGCCGGTCAGGGTGGACACGGTCCGGGCCGGTCCGGTCCCGGTCCGAGCCGTCGTTTGGACTGGCCGCCGGCGGTCCGGTCCGGACCGGACCGACCAGTGCGTCGGTCCTGATTTCAGAGACCGGACCGGCGGACGTGAAGCTCGCTGCGGACAGACGGTCCTCACGGTCCCGGCGATGTCGAGTCGCTGCCATGTGGGCCCAGGATGTCGGAGAGGTGGTCGGAGAAGAAGCACGGTGGCCGGAGCAGGAGAAGATGCACCTGATGTGCGGCTGCACGAGGAAGAGGCACGGGGGAGAGAGGGAGCGGCGCGGCCGCGCGGAGGAGCGGGGGAGCGGCTGCCCGAGGGAGCGGCGGCGTAACGCATGAGGGATAGGGGGTGAGGGAGAGAGGGACGGCGCGGCTGCGCAGGGGAGAGAGAGGGTGGTACTGTGGCGAGGTGGAAGACGTGCGCGAGAACCGGGGGCGAGGGGTAGACGACGTGCCGTGGAAAGTGATGTTAGTCATGAACCTGCGCATGTTTATTACTTAGCAGTTTTCTTGGGTGCGTGCAAGCAATCTATCACGTGCTTGAGCCTACGGATATCCGTCCAGAGCCATGACGTGATGAGTGGATCAAATTGGACACGGATTTAATTGTGGGATGGCACCGTGATTATCGGATCGAACATGTTTCTCTCGTTAGTCGCGAATAAAAGGAAAGAGCAGCGTGGAGTTAGTCATGGGATTAACACGGCCATGCTAGGATAACTACCTTTTACGGAACCAGCCTGCAAAATAAGGGACAATCGGTTCAACAATCCTGTAGGCAGTTATTTCCATAGATGTAGCGACACTATCGGAACAGGGTGCTACCCCGACGGCCAAAACAATGCCGACGGCCACCGTCGGGTTCCTCGGAGATATGCCGACAGCCTGGTCCTGGCCGTCGGCGTATCCAGGCCGTCGGGTTAGACGGAGCTAAGCCGACGGCACCCGTCGGCATAGAACGGCCGTCGGCCTATCTGCAAGTACGCCGACAGCTGCCGTCGGCTTACAAGGGCCGTCGGCATAGTGGTGGGCCCGGCGACCCCGCTGTTGACGGGCGGCTAACGTCGTCAGAGCTATGCCGACGGCCGAGGCGGGGGGCCGTCGGCATAGGTCCGCACGCCACGTCACCGATCCGGGCCGCACCGTCCAAAACATATGCCGACGGCTGCCGTCGGCATACCTGCCACGTCAGCGATCCGCAGCACGCCGCCCGCCGCCTAAAACCTGGCTGTCTCTATGCCGACGGCATAGCCGTCGGCATAGGTAGACTTTTTTTTCATATATTTTTTTAAGCTTTTTTATATATTATTATATCAACTAACATGTAGCATGTTAAATATAAACATACATATGAATACATATATAGTTTGTATTTTTTTCATATATTATGAATATATATATATATATATATAGTTTGTATTTTTTCGAGCACGTTAATAATGTGCGGTCATGTTCTTTTGAATATAGATCATTATATTTTAATAAAATCAAAAACAGCTATGCCGACAAAAGTTTTGTGGCGGTTGCAAATGCCCGACACCCGTCTCCAGAGTGTGACCCCCCTCACGTCCACGGTGTGCCCCCCTCATGGACGGCGCCGGCACCTGGAGGGGGGAAACGGACGCGTCGGGTCTACACGGTGGATGTAGCTGTAGGTTTGGCCCGGATGTTGCTCCGGGTGTCCCTACGGGCCGACCTGACACAACCGGGTGCAGAGGTCCACTGGTCAAAGCCCGTCCGTGGGAAGTCAAAAGGCTAGATCTCATGGTCAACCGCTCCACGGTTAGGCGGGACGGGGGCCCTAGGGGGGGTAGCAATGCCATCGGAGCATCGTACCGACCCTCATACATGCGAGGTGGTGTTGTTGCATGTTCAAAGAGGCGACACGCATCTCAGGGGCGTGGCCCCCCTA